AGTCCAAACATGGTTGAGTCCAAGACAAGACCAAGACAGCAAAAAAAAAAGTTTGCTTGAACTAGAACACTACTAGAACTTGTGTCGTAGTACTTAAGAACAGTCTTGGTCTTGAGTACTACGACACTAGTTCTATGTGACACAAAATGGATTCTTGTGAGCTTCATGACATGTTATAATGTTAGCTGAAGATAGTATATAGACTCTGCATATTACTTCATTTATTTGTTTGCTTTGTTGCTATGAAAGGGCCCATGTTACACTATTTTCTGATCTGTGTTATAATGTTTCCTCATCAAAAACATACTTGGAGTTGTGTTTTGTTTCATCCACACATTTTATCGCACAAATCCTTCATATTTAGGCTGAGTTCTTCTCTCTCTATGTAGTAATGCGAGAAAGACTCCACTGTGTTTTTAAACTCCATACACCTTCACTAGAATCATTTGGATAATTAGTTTGTTTTTAGATCTCCATTAGCTACCGAAAAACAACAACTATTCTTCCTGGGGTCCGTGTCAGGCTATAAATGCATTTTTTTTTTTTTCCTTACAGAAAACAGGATGTACATGCACCACATCCACACCAACAATTAAATAAAATCACTACTAAATAACAAAAATATACAAATAATCATGATAATTAAAAAAAATAATAAAAATAAAAAATAATAGCAGCCCTACTTTTCATTATAACATATTTTCATTAGGACTTAAAGCTCAAAAGAGTCAGTTTTGCGTAATATAGGACCTTTAACTGGCTGAAATTTTACGCAAAAACACACAGTTTTGCTTTACGCTTTCTTTTTGTCATTGAAAGTCCATCACAACCTGTTCACATCACCTCTCAACCTCTTAAAACCACTTGGTACCAGAGCAGTCCAGATCTATAGTCGGGAAAACCATGTGTAAAGAGTACGTAGCTGGGGGATTAGCTCATGCATGTTTCAGAGCGCTAACTAGAATGGCTTTGTGATCCCGAATTCTATCACTTTTTTGCCTCTTAGGGAAATAAATGTGATCCAAGATAAATTGTAACCTGCGGTAGTTGTTTTTCTTCCCCATTAGCAGCAATTTTCATATGTTTTCGCAGATTAAATAAACCGCAAATATCTGACAATATTTAGAAACTGACTTTGAGTAATTGCTTGTAACTTGGCAGACTACGACTCATATTTTGGTCCTTGATATAGATTTTTAAGTGAATCGGGAGTACATCATATCTTGCGGAAACATATTGCAATCATTAATAGTGCATTAGTGGTACTTTTTGGCAAAGAGCCTGCACTAAATAGAAATCTTCGCACCACATGTGTTTGAGTGAGTTTGATAAAATACACTGAACACTCACTGGCCTGGATTCAAAGGGCTCCTAAAGGTGGGACAAAGCATTTGATGTTATATGAAAGAAAGTCATTGTTATAGCAGCTTAATAGAAACTATAAAATACACTATACTTACCAGCTGCTCAGTTTTTACACATGAGCTTGTGCTTGAATCTGCTGTACAGTTACAATCTGTGAAACCCCTGGATCATTATGTTCTAATTTGGACATTTTAAATCGCAATATTCATCTAAAACGACTTAATAAAAGAAACAAGCCCGCTGATTTCCATGTTGCAAAACTGTGGGGTTCAGTGGGAGCTGAAGTCGCCGTAAACATCATCACAACAAAGAGCTGAGCAACTGTTGGCACCTCCAGTGGATAGTTCCAGCTTTTTTTTTTTTTTTTTTTCATTTGTATCACAATGACTACATGACGCTGCCTGATCCGACCTGTATCACCAATATAAGAACATTTTATTGGAGAATTAAGTAAGTACAGAGCAGTGAGCATGTTTATGGCTCAGAAATACCTTGAAAAACATGCATTTTTGTAAGTAAAGTTGTCTCTTCTCTTGGATTGTATGCAGTGAGCTGTTTCTTTTTCCTGGTGTCCATGGAGACCGTGCAAGAGGCTAATGCTGGAACCGTTTATCCATCCGTCTCCCACTCGGATCTCGGATATGACTTCAACCGTTTTATTATGTTTCGTGTGTCCGAACTTGGTTAAGTATGTGCTTCAGCTACACAACTTCGAGGAAGAATTCCAAGAAGAGTACAGAAGACACAGAAGGTATGTTCATAATTCAGTATATTAGTGAAGTGAAAGTGTTGTTTTCATGAGATAGTAGATCCTTTTGGCACGTTAGCTGTCAGGAAATGGACTAAAAACATGGGCGACACTGACACTACCAAACCCACAGGCAGTGATACAGACGCAGTAAGATATTGCAGTAATATGAGTGAAACACAGTGAAAACAGTTCATATTGGGCACAGTCATCTTAGTTTCTATCGGAATCCTTGCTCAGGCTCCTCTGAGATCTTCCAAGTTCTGCCAAAGAAAAGGGATGGACATTTGAGATGCTACAGGTTTTTTACACTAACTGGGGCAGAAAATGTGGCAGGAGACCTTCCAGAGGACATACTTCTAGGGAGTGGACTATTTTATCACCAACCAAACATCAGAGCTGAGTAAGAACGAGGCCTTTGCTGTCGTGTTCACTTGGTTCGTGCCTGGACACTGCTGTGATGCTGTCCTGCTGTACTTTTGTCCTGAGGGCTCTTCCTCTCCTCAAACTGCCCTGACACAGATCTACTGACCTACCTGACCAGTCCTCCTGTTAAACTGCACTGAGACCTTTGACTGAGACACAAAAGCCACTGAAAAGCGCAGTGTAAAAGTTGTTGCAGCTAAACTTGAATTTCCTTCAGGATCAATAAAATGATTACCCTGATGACGCCACTTACTTGCTCTCCATGGATACAGATGTCCAAACATGCCATACTGTAGAAGATTCTAGACAAAACTTCTAGACAAGCAGGAGTCTTACCTTCCATCAGAAGAACCCTCCAGGTGACCCGAACCTAGTTGTATCCCAAACATAAATGTGTACTCTGTCTATGATTGAGGTGGTAAAAGGATAAACCCTCGGCCTTAATCATACAACTGAGTCAGAAAGACACAAAGAAACCCTTCCAATCACCATCTACCCGTCATGTTTCTGAACATGATGGCTCTAAAATGACTGACACCAACATTTCACTCTTTCACAAGATCAACAAAATGCTAATGACCCTGGACCTGGAGTAACTCGAAAGTGGTGGTATAGAAGCTACTTTGAAAAGGAAAAGCATTTTTGCCAGATTTTATGTTTGCATCACCATCTGAACTAATTAGTACTTTTTTTTTATTTTATTATATATATAGCGCTTTTCACAGACATTTGTCACAAAGATGCTTTACAGAGCATTATTCAGTCAATCTATACCTGGTGGTGATAACCTGCTATTGTAGACACAGCTGCCAATCTGCGCCATTGGTCCCGCTTACCACCACCTTCACTCAGACACACACCACTTTCATACTAGGCAATGTGGGTGAAGTGCCTTGCATAAGGACACAACGTAAACTTTTTTTTTTTATTACTGGCGCCCCACTGTGGCACCTGATTTTCCCAGTGGTCTCCCATCCAAGTACAAACCAGACCCAGCCTTGCTTAGCTTCTGAGATGTGACAAGATCAGGCTTTGACAAGCTGGTATGGCTACAAATCTAAATAATTCATCTTGAAAAATGGCCACCATATAGAATTTTTGAGTGGCCAATGCCTTTTTCCAAAATAGTGGCCCTTAGAGAGTATCCGTTTCATGCTTTTATACCAAAGTGAATGATTTTTTTCACTAATCTGCTGCACTACTTAAGAAAACAGATCCAACTTTTAAGACACCTTGCTTATATAACCAGACACAGCTTTATTTTCTATTGACATCCTAACTGTAAACACACCACAATTACTCACAGTTCAATGACGCAACGCTATTTCCAACCCATCTTTCAGCAAGCATTTCCTCACGTCCCCGTGTAAATACAAGCATGTGTTGGGTACCATCCCCGCCCCTGTCCGCCCTCTGGCTCTGGGGGCGTAGAGGTGCAGATCCTGGGGTGCTCTCCTCTGTCCTCTCCCCTGCAGATTTATGGAGCTCTATAACAATCTCCACTCACTGCCAAGACCCCATCAACGCATAATTAAAACCAAACCTGGAATCTCTGTGAAGTCAGTGCAGCGGGCGCATACCTCCACACTGTACCCGATGTGTGAATGGGAGGGAGTGTGAAGGTGAGAGGGGCGGGGCTTGGACCGGGCATGCTCAGACTGAACAGGTACATGCAGTTGCACAGTGCAGGCAGGAGCATATGGGCTGGTGATTTACAGTCTGGGTTTATTAGATTTCACAAAGCTCACATAGAGTTACAGTGAAATCAGTGCATTATGAGGTGACAGTGAGTGAGTGCTTAAAGGATCCAACAGTCAAAATGTCCCTGTCTTATATTTATGTCACTACATTACTATTTATATCACTATTGTATCATGATTCATTTATGTCTTTATTTTGTTTACCATGGTGTGTACTTGGTTTGGTTGTGGTTTGGGAACAGTTTGTGTCCTGGTGTAGATGTGGTGCTGGTTTAGTGCTGGTTTAGTGCTGGTTTAGTCCTGGTTTAGTCCTGGTTTAGTGCTGGTTTAGTGCTGGTTTAGTGCTGGTTTAGTCCTGGTTTAGTTCTGTGTAACACCTGGAGTTTACAGGTAGCTTTCATAACAAATCAAGCCAGTCAGTGTGTGGGTCTAACAGCCATACGGCAGCTTTTATTTACAAAAATATTAAACGGTGCTTTTACTACATGATCAGCTACCTTGAAACATCTGTTTTAGTCCTGTTTTAGTCCTCTTTTAGTACTGTTTTAGTCCTGGTTTAGTCCTGTTTTAGTCTGGTTTAGTCCTGGTTTAGTCCTGTTTAGTCCTGGTTTTAGTCCTGGTTTAGTCTGGTTTTAGTCCTGGTTTAGTCCTGGTTTAGTCCTGGTTTAGTACTGGTTTAGTCCTGGTTTAGTCCTGTGTAATACCTGGAGTTTACAGGTAGCTTTCATAACAAATCAAGCCAGTCAGTGTGTGGGTCTAACAGCCATACGGCAGCTTTTATTTACAAAAATATTAAACGGTGCTTTTAACGGGTGAGGTTACTACTGCAGGGGGGAGGCTCCACCCTAAAGCTGGGGTGAAGGAGACATGCTATAAAGTGAGAAAACAAACAAGATTAATACAAAGAAAACAGTTACCACAACTGAAAACACCCAATTACAAGTGCAACCGTCACCAATAACTATAAATAAGGTCACCCTCTATGTGAGCCCCTCCACACCCAGCGACCTCCAGCCCACACCCACTGCAGAGCTGGAACAAATCAACAATCAAAAACAGCAAACAGCACTGAGCCTGTAACACAGTGCAGTTAATTAAATACATCAGTTAAAATTAAACAATAAGATAAAAGTTAAAAGCATACCTCTCTGATCTGGACTGTTCAAACCCTTAAAATAATGTTTACAAAAGTTACAAATTTGTTTTCTAACAAGATTAAAATGTACAAACATTACATTTGTTTGGCTCACCAGAAATAGCCGTGTGTTAGGCCTGCACAGGAAGAGGAAGTCACCTGGTTCCCCTCTGACCTTTGTGGTCTCTGCCATGTGACACAGGTGTCACATGGCAGAGACCACATGATCAGCTACCTTGCCACATCTGTTTTAGTCCTGTTTTAGTCCTGGTTTAGTGCTGTTTTTGTTAGTTTTAGTCCTGTTTTAGTCCTGTTTTAGTCCTGTTTTAGTCCTGGTTTAGTCCTGTTTTAGTCCTGTTTTTAGTCCTGGTTTAGTCTGTTTTAGTCCTGTTTTAGTCTGTTTTAGTTGTTTTAGTCCTGTTTTAGTCTGTTTAGTTCTGTTTTAGTCTGTTTTAGTCCTGGTTTAGTCTGTTTTAGTCTGTTTTAGTCCTGTTTAGTCCTGTTTTAGTCCTGGTTTAGTTCTGTTTTAGTCCTGGTTTAGCCCTGTTTTAGTCCTGTTTTAGTCCTGGTTTAGTGCTGTTTTAGTCCTGGTTCAGTTCTGTTTTAGTTCTGTTTTAGTCCTGTTTTAGTGCTGGTTTAGTGCTGGTTTAGTCTTGGTTTTGTTCCAGTTTCCTTGTGGTGAGTGTGACCCCACCCTATCCAACTCACACTCCAAAGTAAATGTTCTAATTTTGGTTAAAAAGAAGTAAAAGGAAGCAAAAATAAATAAATAATAAAACAGACACTATGTGATATACTAATGTCAAAGATGTGATTTGTTGTAGTTCAAAAATATATTCTAAACTTAAAATTTGGCTAAACGATTTTTTCTAACTTTGCACTAAAGTTTCAGAATAGTTAACTGTAAAAAGGTCCTATATTATGCCAGATTTACTCTTGTGAGCTTTAAGTCATGTAAAGCCCAAATGGTCACGTGTCAAATCTCAATAACGTCGCAGAGAGTCTATCGTCGTGTCTATCGTCCCCTCTGCAGAGCGTCTGCATCGACCAACGTACACCTCAGAAAAAAACAATGCAGAAACGACACAGACAGTACGGGTTGTGACTGGTCCTCTCTACGTACATACATTTCCGGTACCCCACCTTCATTTTGTACACACCAATGCCAGTTTTAAATCCTGGCCTCCTAACATTGGGGCGGTGAATTACTTTGCATCACGTAGACCTTGATGCAGATCCATAAATCAGAAACGACAGCGACAAAGCGACGGCTGTAGTGTGCGTCGAGTCAACGCAGAACTATAATTTGGCCTTTAGAATGTTATTACCTCCTCCAAAACTGGAGTTGTGTTTTGTTTCATTGACACATTTGAGTTGAGGGGCTGAACAGAGCTCAAAATGCTCTGTTCAGCCCTGTGATGTCACATAGTTGTAGTTTAAATTAACAACAACCTTAAACCTTCTGTTTAGTAGAGATTGGCAATATCTGGGTTTCACGTGACGTCACAGGGCTACGTTTGTCAGCACGCAAAATCAGATGGAGGGCAGGAAGTGAACTGACTGGAGGAAAATGCCGATGTGTTGTGTAGTTTACGGCTGTGCCAATCGTTCTAACTGAGAGAAGGAAAAGCGATTTTTTTTAGAGTACCAAATATAGTCGTCCACAAAGGTCAGAAATGGGAAAAGCTGACAGAACAACGCCGTAAAAAGTGGATTACAAACCTGTTTGCGGTCAGAAGGAGCAGAATTCGTTAATGCTCGTGTCTGCAGTGACCACTTCGTCAAAGGTTTGTTACAAAGCTAAATTGTTTTTTGTGGTTTTCCTAAACATAAACGAATCATTAACGACTAACGGCTAACGACGTTTGTTAACATTAAATAGTTCAGATAGAGGTTACTGCCGATACACTGCAGTTTTTCCATAATGGTCTATACACATAAAATAAGAGAAACACTCACCCCAGCGAAGACCAAACGATAATCATCATTTAGGCGTTTTGCACCAAGGTTGAGGACCCATCCACTGACAAAAAAAGTTCTATGCCTCCAAACTTTTGTACGTCTTCATCTGTTGTCTGGTGTAGAACGATGTCTGAAGAGCTAAATTGTTCATGATCTCCTCTGCCTCGATTGTCGGCAAATCTTTTACTTCGGTTGAAAATTTTCAATAAGATCAGGGTCACGCCCAATATATTTGTCGACTAACTGCTCGTACTTTTGTCTTGCTACTGGCTCTAAATCCTTACAATAAGAACTCTTCTCCATATCTGTGTTCTCCAGAGCCGCGTTTGTCGTGTTTGTCTTCACTTCCTGCCCTCCACCTGAAATTCGCGCATCATTGAGATCACGTGACTGAAACCCTCCTATTGCAGGTCTGAAATTATCTAAATGAAAATGTTTTCTGTCAGAGAAGAACTCAGCCTAAATATACAGAATGAGTGTTAAACTTGAGCGAACAAAATGAAACGCAACTCCAGGACCGTTTTTGACAAGGAAAAAACATTATAACATAGGTCAGAAAATGGCGTAATATGGGTCCTTTAAGTTGATTAGCCTTAAGGAAACTTTCAAACTCAAGTCTTCCTGAATGTGAAGTACAGCATATATACTTTACCATAACCTCTTTTTACCCAAATGACTCCAATCTTATACATGATCTTGATTAGACTTTAGCTTTTAGATTACAAAATGGAGAAACCCTAAACCATTTCTGGCCGTATTCCAGCTGGTTTCTTGGCTTCCTCCCCGTTGCTTTTATACCGTGTTGGAATAAGGGAAAGCTGATTGTCACATTTTTATAACACTTCATCAATATCACAAGACGTGTCCTGAGCTCTTTATTCAGGCTCAATTTCACTGTACACAGCTTGTCAAGAGCGTGTCTCCTTTCTTTCAGTTCACTTGTCACAAATGTCACAAATCTTTCCTCCGCGAGCTCAAACATTTATACCTGCTGCCTGGCCTGTGAGCTCTGTGCCATTGTCTAACAGAGGCACTGGGTTTGTGAGGAGGGGAAACATCACTAACAAAAACTGACACTACCATAACGCACCAATGAGACGGAGTTTAGCAGGTTTTTCTTTGGTCGTAATTGGTATTTTTAAGGTGATTTCGAGTACCAGGTTTGGTTGCACTGTGCAGTCATTGGAGTTCTAGTCTCACAGTTGTGTTAAAGGTCCTATATTCCATAAAACTGATTCTTGTGAGCTTTAAAGGTTGTACGGAGGATTTTTTTTAGTTTCAAATTGTCAATGAAAGTTTAAAATACCATTACAGAGACGCAGCAGCCTTGTAATTATGATGAAAAAAAAGAATGAAAATCTATCAACTGTGGATGTAGTGAGGCCAGATAAACATCAGCCAATAGATAACAAGGGTCCCTCATTTTCTATTGGCTGTTAGGTTGTCAATCAAACTCCCTACGTTTCTAGTGTAACTACTCACGGTTTATGCAGCGTTTTTTAGAGGCTTTTTTAAACTGTAGCTTCCTCGCGGTTTGCACAAAGTTTGTCGCAATGGCGGACGAGAATCCATGACCAGTTCGCAGCAAAAGAAAATCCGTTTTCGAGGTCGCTAAAAGAAGAAGAGAAGGGGGAAAGGAGCAAAGCCAAACTGAGATGAGGTGATCCTTGGAGATTCCTTCCAGCGATTGCGCGAATGAAGCAGGCAAAGGGTCTAAAAACTGACGCTTCGGTCACTAAATTATTTCTCAACAGTAATTCTGAACATGCGCTGGCCGTAAACAAGCGTGATTTCTTGAGTCAAGAGGCGGGAGGAGATGTTTCTACCGAGGGAGCTGTGGAGGAGGAAGGTGGCGTCACACATGCACAACATTTGAAAAAGGACTGTCGCTGTATTTCTCTTTCCTTAAAAAATCCTCTATACAACCTTTAAGTCATGTTATAATCTTGTTACCTCCTCAAAAACATACGTGGCGTTTTCAGATGAAGGAAAGATGCAGAGTGCTTCACTGGGTCATAAAAAAGTTAAAAATAGAAGCTGCTCTACGAGGGTTAAACTAGTAATCTTAACAGAATATTACCCTTACTGAAAAATTAAAAAATGGTCTTCGTCAGAGCGTTATACCTGACAAAATGTGTTGGGGTCCCTCCATGTAATAAAGGACTTTCAATATATTCAGTCGGAGTTCCTCAGGTTTGTGCATTGTTCACTTTTACGTGTTTCAGTAAGGGAAACATTCTTTTAAAATGACCTGGAGTTGTGTTTTGTTTCGTTCACACATGTTTGAGTAACCCTTTATTATTAGACTTTATCTGCATCTCCAAAACTCAAAATGCTCTCTTCCACCTTGTGATGTTATGTAGGGTAGAATAGATTTCTTTTCTTGTTTTTAAGTTTTCAGCAGCTACCTTAACCTTTAGTTCAGTAGAGATTTGCAACTCCAGGGCTGAAATTATCCAAATGATTCTAGAGGTGAAGGTGCATGGAGTTTAAAAACACATTGGAGCACTTCTTGTATCACCACAAGACATCACAAGGTGGAACATTTTTCTTTTCAAAACACAACTCCAGGTATGTTTGTGATGAGGAAATAATATTATAACTTCCATCCATTTTTTCCTGCTTTATCCAGGGCCAAGTTCCAGAGGCAGCAGTTTGAGCGGGCAGGCCTAGACTTTTCTGTCCACACACACTCCCTCCAGCTCCTCCGTAGTAGACTGTATATATAAATGAACAAAGCTAACCTACTAGTCGCAACATTTCAAATACGAAATCAGCACGGGCGCGTTTCCGGTGTTTTTCATTTAGACAGTAACGGTTTTTGGAGCTTAAAAACGCAAAAATCTGAAACCCCCCTCCAGAGCGGAAAAGCTGAATACGCTCAGATCTGCTCACGTTTACGTCACATACATACGGTGCAGATGAAAAGAATTAGGGAAGATTCTACGCATGCAATCGGACATAGTGGTATTGTGTGATAGTGTACCACAGCACCACCTAGCTGTCTGGCATGTATACCCAATCGAATTCCACACATTCCACATCAAAAACGCTCGTCTAAACGCAGAATAAAAAGTGAAGATGCGACGCCACTTTTGTGTCTTCTTTTCAGACCTTCATCATATAATTGTAGCCTTAAAATGTTCGTATTAACACACTCTACATCAGGGGTG